CTACATACTACATAGTGAGTTCCAGGTCAGTCTCAACTACATAGTGAAACCCTGTCTCAAAAAACCAAAAAAAAAGAAAAGAAAAATAAAGTTAAAAGAAAGAGAAATAAATTTGCATGATAAATCCAATGTTGAATTTGGACTTATTCTTTGATTTTGAAGAACCTGTTACTGGACTTGCACTGCTTATCTCCTCATCTTCTTTAGAATGAGTTCTCTCCAAGGAGAGACCTAAACTCCTCATGAAAAACAGACTCTTATTGAATTGGTCCTTCTTCTGATAGGTTGGAGTGCCTACTTGGGCCATCTAGGAAGGGGACCCACAGTGGAATAAGAGATGGAAGACGTATTGGGAAACACCTGTGAAGGATAAAGAGATGAGGCAACTAGGTAAGTTGGAAGGCCTCAAACTGTGATGCAGGTCTGACACTAGTTTTAAAAGAGGAGGAAGGAAGGAGGTTTGGGTAAGAGTCACAGACTGATACAGTTCTGAATTGTCTCAGCTGGGCTGATGTGGAGCAGAGATGCCCAACTGAAGAGACTCGTGTTGTGCAAGAACAACATGGCTTTCATATGGTGTAGTGCACATTTGGTGGCAGGGAGATAGGGCAAATGCAGGAGGTGGGAGTTAGGATAAACACTGAAGTAGATCCCACTGCAGCTAGAATCCAGCACTTATACTCCTCCCTGGGGTTTCCCCTGTGGGAGATCTGAGTAGCATACTTCCCACTGCTGCCACATTGCACATGCCTACACTGTGAATTCTGAAAGTGGGCATAGAAGCCTATTGAGCATATTTATTATAAATATTTATTGAGTGCCTAACATGTATCATGCTAGGCACTGCAGTAGACCTTCCCTCTCTGGTGAAATAACTAAACCTAAAAAGGGCTAACGTGGCAAGGTTTCAGGAAATCAGGTGAGTTTTTATGGCCATTATTGTCAACAATAGGCATGTCTTAATAACATCTGTTGCACATTAACACTGTGTCAAGCTTAGTAAGACAGAAATAACCCTCAGGGAGCTCAAGGCAAGTTTGCAATAAAATATCCCTTCCCCTTGAGGAGCTCAGAGAAGACTTTTAAAGACTTTTCATGCCCATCACTGGATGCTCCAAGGAGAGGGGAGCCTTTTAGTAGAACTGGCCCCAGGAGTTACCAGAGAGACCTTGAAACTTAACTGGCAGCCAACTGAGTGGTGCAAGGGCATGCTCCACCCCCAGGACCCTGCCAGCCAAGATTCGGGGTTTACTGACAGGCAGGCCAAACACCTGTTGTGACTCTTGGATTTGATTCAAAATTTAAAAAAGAGAATGAAAATGGAAGGAATTGGAAAAGAGGGATTTGTAGTTAGAAGAGGTAAGACAGCAGACTTTTAAAAACCCATGCCAACATTCATCCTAATCAGCTAGCAAAAAAAGAAAGTGTCAGTGGTAGAAAGAATGCTGAATACGATATCTAAACTCTGCTTCTTATTGCCTGGCTGACCTTTGTTACTCAATGCTACTCCTTGGCTATAATCTGCAGAGCTAAGGCAGACACTTCTCAAAGTTCTTCCCTTTGAACAGTCTAGGATTTTAACAGCTTCCCTAAAATCATCTTGGAAGAACCTGAAGAGAGGCATGAAAGAGAAGGGGAATACATTGAAAAGAATTTCTTGTGAGTCCAGGAATAATATATCATAACATAGAATATTTAGCATAACGTAAGAACCTAACAACCTACCTTAACATGCATTACGATAAGCAGCAGAGTCTAGGAACAGGAGGGCCAGTAACATTTTTAAAGCAGAAGCTAATTTTATGGACAAGATACCCAGGGCATCAAAATATGACTCTGTTCTATCTTTATATAGAGGTACAATTGGTTGAAGAAGGAAAACAGTTCCAACTGTCAGCTGGTTCTAAAAGATCTGAAGTTCATATATATTCTATCAACATATGAATTTCCAATGTGACTAAAGCAAACTGTCTTTGTGTTTTACCAAGCCTTCCACCAGTTTTGCCTTGTAAAACAAAACAGTTGTACTCCACCTTTAAATTTCCATTTGCTACTTGTGGTTTTTTTTTCCTCCAGGCCTAAATTTTAGGATTCTCAGAATAACAAGAGTGTATGCAAATGAGAACCAAAACCTGTCATGTAAAGGTACAAGATCCCAACGATGAATGTAACTATACTGTATACCTGAAATGTACCAATAAACTCGAGGAAAAAAATAAAATAAAATAAAATTAGCTGTAGAAAAAAGTGTATGCTCCTTTATTTACTGCTTCCATTGAACTAAAAAAAGAAAAAAAGAAAAAAAAAGCCACAGACTCAAAAACAAAAACAAACAAACAAAAGCACTTGCAGTCAAAGGAATGACATAATTAACAACCAATCATGAAGAGGCTATACAACCCCCAGGCCTTCAGATACTTTACCTCCGAGGCAAGGCTCTTCAGAGAGGATCAGGTTTTCTCTTGGGATTTCTTTCTTTTTGAATTAAGCACCACTGAGGGTTAGAGGCCAGAAACACAAACTCTTAACCTAGTCCCTGGTAGGCAAATAGGTTCTAGGGATATTAAATTACCTGTAGGGAGAGAATACTCTGGGCTCTGTGAGAAACCAGACTAAAGACAAAGGAAACAGGAGGATTATGGTGTCAGTGTGGACATCAGAGCAGCCACAGGAGGGCTGTGCTGCCTCAATAAATAATGGCATATTTGGCAGCCGACCCAGTTCTTAATCAGGCCTGGGGCCTACAGGTAGGCAGCCTGCTAACTTTGTGCTGTCACAGCAGCTACTACAGATTTATAAATTTTTAAGACAATTTTCTAACAACTGCTGTTCAACAATTTTGAGTAAAGGGCCCTTTTTATTTTCTGACTCACAGAAAGGTGTATAAGGACTGGCAGCAACTCTATTGAGAATCCTTTCCTAATTCTTTTAAGTTTAGTGCCATCAAATCTACCATGTTTGGGGCCAGGGATTTAGCTCAGTGGTTCTGCCATCTGCCACCTTCCTTGTAAGCGCAAGGTCCTGAGTTCAATCCCTGATACCAAAGAAAAAAAAATCTACCATGTTTTATTCTAACTGCCTGCTTACTGATCTATATACATGTTAGAGTATCAGCTTTGGGTGGGCAGAGACTGTTTTGCTCAACACTGCATCCTAAGCCCTGGAATGGCACTTAGCCCTTCGAGCCTCTTTGGAGGTTCTAACAGGGGATCATGGCTACTCAAACACCATGACTTTGAATAAGGAAATGGTTTTCCTCTATTGGGAATGGTCATCCTCTTTGACTAAGTGCACGGCTTGGGGAAGGATGTGCATGGAGCAGTGAGGGAGGAAGGGGACACCTGCGTAGCTAACCAGATCAGCTAAATCAACTCTGGC